GTTCGGCAGGTGCTTGCCTCTTTATTTGTTCCGTGGAAATAATAAGCAAGCCACTATACTTTCCTTTTCGTCACTTTTACCTCTGGTTAACTGTGATTCCTGATGACGTCAGCCCTGACTCCTTACAAGATTTTGAATAATAAATCATCCCTATCCTGCTTCTCTGATCCTACTTGGGCATAAAAATCCAGATCACAAAGCAAATTCCCAGCCTCACAATTGGACCCTTTTCTTCCTAGAAAAAAGCGACTCAGAGGATCCTTCGAAATAAGAAATTCCTGTGGTGTATCCCAGTCTGTGTGGACGATAACAAAGTACCTCCCTCTAAAGGTTGTTATAAGAGTTAAATGAAAAATATTTTAGCACAGAACTTGGCATCTAGTAAATGCTGAAGAAGCACTGGCTTTTTTAAAGTGCATTTATAATATAGTTTCGTTTAACTATGCGTTTATAGAGTGCCCAGTGGTACTGTGGGATAGAGTGGCATACAGTAAGGAACTCCGGAAATCACCATGCCTGATTCTTATTACTGACCTTACAGTTTCAGGCATCAAATATTATATTGAAATTCAGACTCACCTTGATGGGAACACCTTCTCTATAGGAAAAACGATGTTAAAGGTAACAATAGTAACGCCTGCCTTACACACAGACACACTGACATGCATGGCCGCCTCTCCCTCTCCGCTTAACACAGCCTTTATGCTTTAACCTGCCTGATGCACCATCTGCCTTCCCACAGATCCCCCCCACGTCCCCACGCAGTTGGACGACATCAGGGCCCTGCTCTCAGCCACTGGACCGAACCTTCCTTCGGTGCTGACGTCTCCGCTGGGAACACAGCTGGGCCTGGATCCTGGGAATTCCGCTCTCCTTGGTGAGTCCAGCCCTCTGGAACATTGGGCAGAGATCCAGGGCTGGACAGGATTTATGGGTGGGTGACTACTTGCAGGTGGGAGGGAAGCAGCAGTTGGGGGTGGCCAACAGGAAATCACTAAATTGCCTCCAGAATCCAGACTCACCAGTGGAAACTTGGCTGACTTTCCGTATGAGGTGACTGAAGTTCTTAGTCTAGACCTGAGCTTGTCCAGTGTCTAATGGGGCTCCTTTCTAAATCCTCTTGGGCTGATGCCACAGTCCAGATTCTCTCAGTCAGATTGATGGTGCTGAATTTGGAGAAAGATACAGCAGTGCAGAACAGCTCCTATATCTCCTCACCCCTTGCCAGCTGTATCCCAGTACTCCTCCATGACCTCTTCTTACCTAAATTAGAGCTATAACCAGCCTTCAAGGAGAAAACTGCAATATCAGTGCCTCCCAAAAGCCAGGCAATCTATTTAAACCTCCTTCAGTAGGTGGGGCGTACAACCAACCCAGAGAGACTCCTCAAGGCAAGCGTTTAAGCCGGTAGAACTTCCCTGGCGTCTGTCATTGGTAACCTCCACCAAGTTATTGCCCATGTGGCTGGCACCCTCTTGTAGCAGAGAGTTGTTCGAGGGCATCCGCATCCTGGGCCCCTCACCCCAGAATGGTGGAGATGCCAGAGCAACCTCTACATGACCTCTGGGGACGGTCAGGGTGGAGAATAAGTCCTCTGCCCTCAAAGGCCTGGGAAAAACAGGCCTACAAAATGGAGAAAATCTTCACGCTCACTGTATGTGGCCCCAGATGTTGGTCACGGTAGCTAGAATTATGTCCTTGGCTCAGTGTTGAAATTTCCTCTGCTCTTCTACTCGCCCACGTGCAGGGGACAGGAAGCCAATGGGTTCTCGGTCATACTGGTCATAACTTAACAATACGGCCCCAGGGCTTGGTATCTTTAGGGTTCCAGCACAGAGAGATTGCCTTCAGTTTTTTGTTAACATCTGAAATTAGCGAAGAATGCATACAGGCCTATGGAAAAAGCTTCTGATTTCTCTGTTTCTGATCTGGGTAAAAATAAAACACAGATACAGTAAGGAGTAGCGCTGTTTGTGGTAGCAAACTTGGCATTGAGTTTTTGCACGTCACGTTGATCAGAATTCACAGAAGTTTAAACTTCTTTTTTTTGTTTGTTTTGGCATATAAAGGGTAAATTTATTCCAAATTAAACATGTGCATTGTAAACTTTTTATTTTAGGCCCTTCACTATGAGAGATTGTCATAACTTATTGTCCAGTCACTAGCAGGGTGTGCAGCTGTTGTTTATTTTCAAGTTCAGTAACTCTTGGGTCACTCAGGTGCCATTCAGCGTGCTGGAAAAGTCAACCTGCTATATTTTCCATGATAGCTTTACTTTCTTTCTCCCTTATTCTGGAATAATATTTTGTCTTATTTTAGCCATGGGCAATAAGAATTTATTGTGCTTTATGCTGCTGCATTCCATTCCTAGTTTATAGTGCTTTGGTACCTTAGACTGGTATTTAAATCTAACAGTTAAGAGACACCTTAATGCCCTAGTTCACATCCAGACCGCTCCACCTGAGTAGACCACGGAGGCAGTATGCATAAAGTCCCTGAATGTAACTGCATGGGCAAAATGGACTCTAGTGGTGAATGTCAGCATCTTGCCAACACCATTGAACTAGGAGAGATCCATGTGGAATCGTGGAGATGAATTAAGGAATGGTGTCAAGTATCAGGACTCTGAGAAGTACGTCACTGGAGACAGACCAGAGCCTCACTGTTACGCTTTGATGCTGAGCACTGAAGGGTGGGGGGTAGGGATTCAAATAGGCACAAAGGAAAGGAAAGAGGCCCTCGAGGTGAGGAAGATGCCAGGAGCCCGGAGGAGATGAAAACCTGTGAGATGTGCATCAGGTGTCTGTTCAGAAACAGCTGTAAGACCCCCGCCGCTTTAAAACGGATGACAGGCAGCTGAGCTGGGATAGAAACTAGGCCTTCACAAGGAGCAAGCCTCAGCCAGCCAGAGCTTGTCCACTCAAGTGTGACTCCAACCCTTACTGGAAGCATCCTAACAGCCTCCCTCCATCTGGGGCCTCCCTGGCTAGTGACTCATCCTGATCCGTTAGTCCATTTGCTCCCCTTTGGACCAGCTCCCATCCCTGGCTCCTGCTGGTGGTCCTTTCAGACCAGAGTATGCGCTCTGGGTACAAGAAATGAGCCAGAGGCCAGAGGGGAGATTCTGTGGAGGGTTGCTTAGAACTCAGAACGGTAAACAGCATCAAATTGTGGAGGACCTTGATTATTAGGTATGGGGGTAGCTTTGCTATGTGGGAAATGGGGAGGTAACTTTAGAGGGTTTTTAAAGTAGGAGGATGTTATAAAGTAATATTTGAAAGAATTAATCTGACATTCCATAAGAATGAGTAATCAATAGAGAGACTGAATGAAGAAACACTGTGCTGAGGGTAACAAATGTTCTAGATCAGGATGGAAATATATGGCAAAGATATTTGTTAATCACCCCTTCCACAGCCAAGACACCCCTAATCAATCATGACACTCAGCCCGGGCTCTGCCTTGGAATTCATTTTTTTTTTTTAACCCTTTTGTGTGGTGTGTGCACATGTGTGTGTATGTGTGTGTGTGTGTGTTTAAAAATTTTTATTGAAATATAGTTGATTTACAGTGTTGTGTTAGTTTCGGGTGTATAGCAAAGTGATTCAGTTATACATATATATAAATATATGTATTTTTCTACATTCTTTTCCATTATAGGTTATTGCAAGATATTGAGTATAGTTCCCTAAAACAACTACACCCCAATAAAAAAATAAATAAAAAATATATATACGCTACTACATAAAAAATAGATAACCAACAAGGAGCTACTGGAATTCATTTTAACATTCCAACCAAGCATGTTGGCGATTGGTATATAGGATGAAAGCCATTCGCCAGCCCCACTGTAGCCAGTAAATGTTGAGATTCATGTGTGTGTATTTCTCCCATCTACAAGGCCACTTGGCCACAAAAGATTCAAAGAGCTCCACGGTTCTGTGGCACAGGGACAGTAACTCATGGGCCTTGATGCTCGTGTTTTCATGGGAGGAAGAGGAGAAGGGAGATTTGGGGTTTTTAAAGCCGTATGTCAGCACCACCTCTTCTCTGTAAAGGTTGAGTGTTGAGAGTCCCAGTAGGTGAGTCTACCCAGAAATGGCTGTTTTAGTTTTCAGACAGTCTAGCATTGTTTTCACTTCAAGCCACTGTTACAGCTTTCAAGAAGGAATGTTGATTGAGTGACACGTGCATGGGCTCATCTGAGCCTCACTTTCCGTAACTGTAAATGAAGACTTGGGACAAGTGAGTCCCTTGCTGCTGTCACACTCTTTGCTATATGACATAGACATGGAAAATGCCTAGTAGAGGCTCGTCCATGCAGAGTTGACCCAGCCTAATTGAATCCCTTGTCCCAGGCAAGGCAGATGCTAAATGTTTTGTCCTTGTTTTCCGGTTGCTCTTTGTGCAGCGAGGCCTAAACTGTGCCATCTGCTCTGGAGGGCAAGGCCAGCACCCATGCCACCCATGGCCTTTGGTGTTCCAAGGCCAAGCAGTACCCTGCAGGGTTCCATTTTCAGAGCAGCAGCATCTCAGGCCTCCCCACAGCACCTAAGCCCATTTGCAGCCTTCTGTCAAATATTTCTTTTGGCCACTAAGGCCCAACACGGGTATTTCTCACAGCATCATTTATAGGGCATTAGCATTGATATTTTTTGAAAAATAAGTTTTATTGGAGTTTTTATTATAAGAGCAGTGCGTCTGCATTGTAGAGCAATTAAAAATAGAAGCAAAAAGAAGAAATGAAAATGATCTATAATTACCTGGCCCAGAGGTAACCAGCACAAATATCTTTTTCCTAGCCATTAATATATACATTATATATTTTTCTAACTAAAATGAAATCATACTCTAAGTACTGCTTGTAACTTTTTTCACTTAATGGTACACAGGAGTCATCTTTCCATGTCTCTAAATATTTTTCTACAGTTTTATTTTTGATGCCTGCATTAGTGGGAGGTGTCATATCTTATTTAACCAATTCTCAAATGTCGAACATTTAAATTCATGCAATCTCTTGCTAATATAAAAGCATAGATACTCAATACTCTGTAATGACCTGTATGGGAAAAGAATCCAAAAAAGAGTGGATATATGTGTATGTATAACTGATTCACTTTGCTGTACTGCAGAAACTAACACAACATTGTAAATCAACTGTACTCCAATAAAAATTAATTAAAAAAAATAAAAACATGATGAATATTCTTATTCCTCTACCCTTGTGTACATCCCTGTTTACTTAGAATCAATTTCTAGAAGTGGAATTATTGTGTCCAAAATTTTGTATATTTTCGGGTTTTGCTGTATGTCATCAAATTGCCCTCCAAAAACGTTTTACCCATGTATGTATCCATCAGCACAAGATGAGAATTCCCATTTCCCGCAAATATTATCAATACTAGGTATGACCAAGTGTTACTATATTTACCATTTTAATAGGTGAATATACAATAGGATAAAATATAATACAAAAATATGGTATCATTTTTTATTTTTATTCCTTCGATTATGATTTTCAGTCATTTTGTTTTTAATGCTTTTCAGTCATTTATATTCATTTATGAGTTGCCTGGAAAGGTTCCTTGTTAATTTTTTATAAGTATTTATCCTATTTTATTGATAAGATACAATACATATTCAGGTATTTTTGCATTTATTTGACATAGAATTTTTTTTAATTGAAGTTTAGTTGATTTACAATATTATATTAGTTTCAGGTGTACGACATATTGATTAAATTTTTATAGATTATATTCCATCTAAAATTACTATAAACTATATTCTCTGTATGGCTATTTTCTCTGTGCTGTACAGTATATCTTTGTAGCTTATTTGTTTTATACATAGTAGTTTGGGGTTTTTTTTTAACATCTT